CTGATACTGCTGCTGCTGTCTGCATCACCCTTCTTGTTGTTTGTGAGTTCAGGAGGAAGTGTTGTTGTTGTGGTGGTGGTTGATTCCTCACTGGTTGATGCACCCTCTGCGGGGTTTGCAGTATTAGGGTCAGTTTCAGCCTGATTATTCTGCACTTCATCTGTGGGTATATTGGTGGAAGAAGTATCATCTGTACTTTAAGTTGTGGAAGCAGAAGAGTCCTCTCCATCATTATTTTCTGGCCTTGTTGTGTTTGTGTTCTGTGTGTTGTCACCTTGTTCATTAACTCTCTGATCACTGCTATCTTGTGAACGATCACCACTTGGTATCTGTTGGGGCGATGTGTCACCAACAGTTGTGGGTTCATCAGTAAGTGATGTAGTAGGAAGAACTGCTGAAGAAGGAGTATCAGGAGAACGTGAAGTAGTTTCAGAATCAGAAGTTTGTGTCTGATGGTTCGGACTTGTTCCTGCGTGATTTCCCCTCTCAGGCAGGTTTCCAACTTCTTGAGTGTCTACAGCAGGACGTTCTTCTTTCCCTCTTTGATGCTGCGGATCCACCTCCACCTTAGGCCCTTTCAAATCCACATCTAGGCCCTTCAGATCCGCTTCAGGACCTTTAGGATCTCCAACAAGTTCACTGCGGCCAGGACCAGGAGCAAGACCTTGTGTCGTTTCCAATCCTTCTCTTGACTTTGCCTCCGAAGCAACAGAATCTTCACGAAGTTCCGCATGCACTTCAGGATCGCGCTCTTCAACAGCCTGCCCTGATGGCTCCACAGCAGTTACAGCACCCACACAAGCAACGCTCAGCACAAAGAGAAGAAAAAACAGCACACGATTCATCGTTACCACAGCAAGATCTGTTTTTCTTGTTTTCGGTCACTTAACTACAGAAAAAAAAATAAATAAAAATAAAAAAAAGCACCCAATACTAAAGAGACAGAGAGGCACAAACCATGAAAAGCGTAGCATAAGTACCAGTTACACCAAACAACGCCACCAGCTTAAACAAAAAAGAGTTCAATAAACACTCACCACAAACACAGTGATGAAAGAATCTCAAGAAAAAAATGAAATTAAGATCAAGACTAACTGCCCCACCAAACACATAAATAACGCAGAGCGTTCTGTGCGAATGAGTTAATATGCAATTATGAATAAAAAGGTGTATCAGTTATTATTTTTTTTTCTGCAGAAAACAAACGACCAAACCGGTGCAGGTCAAAACACACAATGCCCCAGCAAAAGCACAAGCAAACAAACAGATATTAATCATTAGCCCAATTTACCAAGTAAACACAGAAATATACACCAACTATGGGTGTAAGTCTATATGTGTATATATAAGCAATTATAAAATATAAATTCATCTGTTATTATTATTTCCTTTTCCTCCCACTACAAAGAAACAGTTCATCATTATCATCATAGTGCAAACCCAGGTGCACACACAGAGTCTCCAATAACACACACACA